TAATAATAATAGGAAGGGTGGCTTCATAGTGGTGACATTGGCCAAATAGATGATCGAGGACGAATTATACTCATAGACCGGATAAAACATATTTTTAAATTGTCTCACGGGGAATACATTGCTCCAGAAAAAGTAAGAATATTTGAAAAGTTATTCCTTTTCCTTTTTGCATTAAAATTTTACAGTTTTTTTTTCTTTAGATCGAGCAAATATATCTTCAAGTTCCTTTAATAGCCCAATTATATGTGCATGGAGATTCAGTAAGAACCTTTCTTGTTGGTATAACAGTACCAAACGTGGAACTATTCATACCATGGGCTCAAAAAGTTCTCGGCGGCGGAGGAAATAAAACTTTACAAGAACTCATAAGTGATAAGCAGGTTCGAAACGCTCTTGTACGTCATCTGAATGAGGTTGGTAAAAAAGCAGGATTAAAAGGGTAAGTCATAATTCTAGTTTTAATTTCATTTCGATTTTAACTTAACTTGAATCCGAAACTCATTTCCGCATTTTATTTTCTCTATACAGATTCGAACAAATTAGGGCTATTTTTATTGACACTGTTCCTTTCTCTGTCGAGAATAATTTGGTGACACCAACGTAAGTTTTGCTTTTTATTATGTAAATTGCATCTTTATTTTATTATTTGATCTTATTTATTTTTATCTCCATAGTCTTAAGCTTAAACGTCAAGCGATTGGAGAGAAATATCGAAAAGAAATTGATCAATTGTATGCTGAACTTGAAGATAAAAAATCTCTTGTTTCTAAACTGTAACGATTTATTATTTATTTATTGCTAAAGCAATCTATTTATTGCTTTGTTTCAATTCATTGAATTTTTTACAAAGAAATAATAGCTAGAGTAACTATAATTGGAATAATAAACACAACACATACTATATTGCATATTGGTATGATATTATAATAGCATTGGAAAGCATGACTGCTTTATGATGTTGTTGTAATGCAACATGGATAAATTTCTTTGATAAACAAAATCCTCATCGTAATCGTAATTATCATTGCTATCGACTTTTCGAGTCCATTATGATAATGATCTTTCATGTCTAGCAATGGGAACGATAACTAATTCATAAATGATCGTATTTTTATATGATTTCAAGAAATTTAATTGATTAGGGATTTCGGGTCTTACACCTCCCAGTATTGAATTATTCCAGTAACTTTGAATGATTCATAAAATGATGTGGCATATACCGTCGAAAACTCGATATAATGGTCACTATGACTGTATTTTGAATGATCGACAATTATTATTATGACCAATAAAAAACGACTTCGCGCATTGTACAGTTGGGGACACAATAAGCCATCCAATAACTTAATCCCAATTTAAAAATAAATAAAATATTTTTTGAATAGATATTGGTCAGCGCTATAATCTGACGTTGAGATTATTTCAATTGGATATCTAGATCCAAAGTTATTACGCAGCAAAGAAACATGTAATTCTGGCTGGAATTAATAGCCACCGCGCCAAAATTCTATGCACAAGAATAATCTAGTTCTAATTAAAAAGGTTAATATTATTTTTCAGTGACTATCTAAAAAATTTAAAATTCACGTAACTTTCTTTTGCGTAAATCATTTGATACAAATTTTTATAACAAGAATATAATAAGCATTTTGAGAAATATACTATCTATATTTATTATTTATTTATATCTTATATTAAATTTCTTTCTTATACTTATATTAAGAATACTTGGAGTGTAAGTAAAATGCGTATTTTTTGTCAATCTGCTTTTGTATGTGATGGTGAAGAATAAAAAGAACTGTGAATTACTTTTACTTATGATAACTGTGAGTTGTCAATCATTATTCTCATATTAAGTAATCATTTTTTAAAGCTGATCTAATTATTATTTTTTTTGTTTGAACATGAAAAGTATATAATATATTTTTAGATTTCTTAAAAAGCTCTTTCATAGTCTTATTCTTTTTATAAGGATATAAGAATTTTTATAGTCGTTAAACTTAAAATTAT